TCTTTTTTTTTTTTTTTTTTTTTCCAGGTTTAGATCCAGATAAGCATCTAGGAAAAACTCTGGATCAAATGGAGCCTGATCTTCTGGAGGTATAACTTAGAGGATACTCCTACATCTAAAGTTGCAATTAAAAAGTAACATAGGCAGAAATTCAGTAAAATTAACAATAAAAAATTACTTAGTTACTTTCAGAAATTAGGTGCTAACCCAATGCTTATCTTTCTGATACCCACTTTCAATATGAAAAACATTCTTTCGGCAGGTAGTTCACAAATGGTTCCAGCGTATTTAAAACAAACTAAAGGCAAGAAACCTCAGTGTTAAGGGAACACTGACTTGTGTGTCAGTATCATGAAGCTAAATACTTGCATGCAAGTTAGAGACTTTCACAGCAAGGAATAGTAGTGGCAAAATCATAGATGATACAAAACTTCCCCACAGGTATCCCCATCTGAATGTTTCCTACCATTTTTTACACAGTCAGACTGCATACAGTAGGGCCTTTCAGAAATGGAACAAGAAGTTTATTCCTGACGATGTACTTAATTCTGTGCAACAGGTTATGTAGTCCTCAAAGCAGGAAAGTGCTTGTAGGCAGAGCTAATAGATTTATTTAAAGAAAAATTACTTAACTAGGGGGAAAAAAAGAAAAAAGACCAGATTTTGTACATGAGTCTTCTTTGAGGTAGAAGCATCAAACATCAAGCTAAGTACAATTTAAGAATAGCGGCTCTGAAAGTGTGTTTTCATAAATTGTCTGTGACAAAACCAATACCACAGTTCCTTGTCCTTGAGCCTGTTAAAAACCCACAATTATTTGCGTGTTTGGCTATTAAGAGAGTCTTACTGTAACTTTATCAGTGTAAGCTGTCTAAATTTGTGCAGAATGATCTCCTAAAAATAGTTTTTGTTGTTAATCTGGGTAGTTACTATTCAGCCTGCTTTGTAAACAGTTTTTCTGGAACAATTAAGGGCATGACAAACTTGCCAAAGAGAAAGTAACCAGAATTTGTTAGGAACTTTAAAAATCTCTTTTGCTGCTGAAAGATAGTGGAGTTAATTACGAATTGTATCTTGAGTTTAACTTCATTTTGTTAGTCTTTTACATGTCTGGAGAGAAGAGCATAGATAATTGGTACTTGGCAAAGCTGAAGAGGAAGAAAGGTCTGTAACATTGAAATAGCCTTACTTGAAGAGATTGTTGTTGGCCTTTTCTTAGTTTGAAGTTTGCTGCTTCTGCTTCAGTACTGGAGAATCTGTCCGGAAATCTAGCCCCACCCTCCCTGCACTGTATAAACTAGTTGATGTAAAAATCTCTTTCATTATCTCTTTTTGTAAGTCTTGCTTCACTTACACCTTTCGATCATCTCAACTGCAGCAAGGTTGCAAGAATACCAGGGGATGGGAAGGAGAGGTGTTTTCTCCTTCTCCAGAAAAATGGGAGGAAGGAAAGCAGGAAATAACTATCTTCGTAAATACTTGTGGTATGGGTAAAAAAGCAGTAGCAGAGACATACAGTAGGAGTACACAAAAATAAGTGTACATTAACTATATATAAAATATTTGTTCATAATGTGTCATTAACAGATGTTTTATTTCATGGGGTGATTATAAAGGTAGACTTAAAACAGTAAATAGTTGCTAAATCTAGAGATATCTGTAAGATCCAAGAATAGTTAGACGAGGGAGTGGATTTATCCTTTCTGAAAAGTATAGATGAGATTTCTAAAGGAAAAGCATCAGTAAGCTTTTGGATTAGGTAATACAATCTAATTGAACACTGAGATAACTTTGAATTGGAAGCTGTATTACCATGGCTGTTTGGCTCAGCTAATAAGCCACTGAGAACAAGAGTGTGCAAGTTTCAGTTCACCACTTGTGACCATGGTTAGACTGCTTCCAGGAGCCTGACTGCTAAGTTGACATTGCACTGCGTGAATGTGCCAGACTGGAGTCTTCGTTGCACTCCATGTTTGTGACATAGGCCTGCTCTGACACTGGCATGCTGTATGATGCAAGAGAGTAACATTACTGTGGAAAAGCAGTTTTACTGATGTGTGAAGTCATGTTCTACATGTACTGTAGAAATGGCTACCGACTGATAAATTCCCAGAAAGGTTGTTTGGAAGATCCTTTGGAGTCATGAGTAAATAATACGTAGTTTAAGAGTATGATGAACATTTAAGTGCTACTCTCTCTGTTTGTTGCTGCAGATCACTTAAGCGATGTTTCTGTTTCTCAGAGCTGTTTCTTTAGAATCTTAGTAAGTGACATCTAAGGAAGGATAAAACTTTGTAATCATCGACCAATGAACCATTTACTGTGGAACAGATTTAACAGAAGCATCAACTTTACTGTAATATCAGTTTCATACTGGTCAGTCACATTTGGATGAATTAATATTTATGTGGGACTAGTTAAATACGCCAAAAGGAGGAAAGTACGCTCCTTGTGTTCACAGAAAGCTTCTGTTATCAAAATTCAGGTTGCAGCTTCAGTGTGGCTGCAGATGGGTAGCTACTCACCTCAGTTGAATCAATAGTCTTGACTTTCTTTAAAACTGTAGCAGGAAGTATTGCAATTATGTTAGTAGGGTATAATTAAAATAAGGCTTAAGAAGTATTCCTCTACATTTGATTTCACCATCATTCATTTTAAAAAGAAAATAAGAAACTAAGAAATCCAAAAGTACCTGGTATTTTGGGGAATTAAACGTATTCTTCCTGATTTTTGGTGATTCGAGTGAAGTGATTGTTACTTACTTGGTTTCACTGAAATTCTTACTGTCATGGTTTAATACTTCTCGAAACCCATGTTTGCAGGTTTTAAATTTTATTGATACAATAATAAACAGAATAACAACTGCCTAACTTAAGGTGTAGAACTAGCAGGGCATTCTGACTCTTCTTGGAACTGGTTGTCAGGCCATTGTAGGGGAGACTGCACAACAGATTATTTGTTCATGTAGCTGTTTCTTGTGCGTACGCATGCTATGAAAGTCAAAGTCAGTACAAATAAATTGTTTTTACTGGATACTTAGTTGGCTCTAAGGCCTAATAAAACCAAATCATTAACTATAAAGTGAAGAGAAATGCTTAGGTTTGTGATGTGAAAAATACTCTTTTGCAAACCGATGAAGTCTTCAGCATCAGAAGTTCTGGTAGACAGAATGTGAGAGCAAAGAGTTCAGAGATTTCAATAAAGAGGAGAAATAAAATTTAATATTCTAACCATACCAAAGCAAACACCATAATAAATTAATTTTTAACATTGCGCAGCCCGAAAACTGCCACAGCTCTATATACTCTTGTATCTTTGATTTGTGTTGTATTATCTAACCAGTAATTTCAAATTTCTTGTTGGGTTTTGCTAATTTATGCTTTTTCCAGTTCTTGTGGGCTTCTCTTTTGGGTTCTCTGTTGACATCTAATGTTACTTTACACAGTTGTTTATTCAGCTAGGTGCAGGGTTTTTCATTACAGCATTTTTCCCTACTGTGATGTGCAAGTTTGTAAGAATTTTTGCAGTTGTGTTTAATTAGTGATCTGTGTGTTCTTCAATTTTGTTGAAAACCAGTTTATATCTTCATAAGTTCAGTACCCAGAAAAATACCAATATTAATGATAAGAGGGTCTTTGATATTGAACCACAACATATATGACATGTTGAGTCATTTGGGATTGGTAGGGAATATCCTGCTTTTCATTTTAGCATGTATTGACAAAGTTCAACTTCTCTGATACTACAGATCAGGAATTAGGACTTTACTTACTTACTTCTTTTTACACTAAACGTTTACCTTAAGGAACAGCCAATAAAATCAAAATCAATTTGTGTTACTATAGTGTGCCTAGAATAATTTGTCTTTTGGACATACAAGAAATAAGCATGAAGTAATCATTTTCTTTTTAGAAGAAATCTCTTGTTGAGACATTATAAGAGGTGTGTCAGTGTTAATTTGAAAAAATAAATGACAAACCAACCCACAATCCAGCCCTGATTTCATCCACTGAAATATTTAACCTTGGAACAAAGTACATTGTCACCTAAATTTTCAGTCTTCTGGTTTACTTAATTTATGTGTACAATAGAAATGATAATAATTACTGACTTAAAGGTGAGGTGTTTTTGCTGCAATAGCAGTAGAAAAATGGAGTAGTATTGAGTGGGAAAAACTGTGATTTAGTTTTGCAATTTTTTTTCTCACTTTACATACAAAAGGTTGAGCTTATGAGTACGATGATGATCTGCAACCAATAACTTTTATCGTGGTGAATTTTACTGGCTCAGGACATTGGGATTGGGGCAAGGAAAGTTCTTGAATTACTGCTTTTTTCTAAATAATAGGTCCTTGATTAATTATTGATGAATGGTTGCTACATAATTGCTAAATTATTAAATTGCTCTCATGTCCTACTGTTTCCTGTATACCAGGAGCCTTGGATTTTTATGCTAAAGAATTTGTTGGCAACTTGCCAAATCTCAGAGGCTGCTCATACACTCCTTATAATTTATTACTAGAATAGTAAATGCATATTGTGGTTATATTTGTCTGTTCTGCCTCTGCTAATAGACAACAAAAAAATGTTTAGTCATTGGTATGCTTGCCTTAGAAGATGAAGAGTACTTGATGTAAAGAGCATTTCTGTAATTATAGAGAATTTACTAAGTGTTACAACTTCTGTCTGGGAACAAAGTCTTCACATGAAACAGGAAGCACTTGAATTCATATCTTTTGTTTTTAATTACTAAATTTAAATGAGAAAGTCAGCTTTAATCCTTGTGTTTCATTCCCAAGGTAGGAATAGACTGTTCTTGAGGTAGTGTTTGGGCTGATTGTTTATATACCTTGCGTCTCATTACGTGTTTGAATTAAGATTCATTTTGTGTAGTCTAGAACATGTTTTCATCATATATTTGTTTTGGATTTTGAACTGGACTTACATTTTTAGTTAAGTGTAGTTTGTAAATTTGCTGTTTTCTGGCTCATCTGAACTAGAGGGCAGATTTAGCAATCACAACATTTATATTAGAGTCTAAGCTGTTGTATGGTTATGAATGTAACATCCAACTTGCAAAACAAAATAATTGGTCTTCAAAAAGTGTTAATATTCTAAATGACTAAAAGACAAAATTCTGATGTCATTGATGACATTTTAAAAATGTTACTGACTTTGTTAAATGAATATTAAGAATCTGCTCTATGAGCTGCTGAATATCCTCAGTTCCTGTTGACATTAGTGGGAACTGAAAATCCTTTAGCACCTTGTATAATTGATGTCAAGAATGATCTTGAAACCAGTGACATTGAAAATGAGGATTTCTCACAACAAAGATAGGAAATAATTTCACATCTTTTGAGTATGCAATGTTAATTGCCAATAATTATTCTAAGCACTAATCTTTACAAGCAGAGCTACCAATTTTGAAACAGTCACTCTATATTCAATGTGGAAAGATTACAGTTAGAAAAATCTTTTCTGGTCTTCTCTCTTTCATTTTTTTAGTAGTTTTGTTTAGGTTTTTTTTGCAGTGGAAGCTACAACAAGAAGAATAAAAGGTTTTGACTAACTGTTTTGTAGGTTGTCCATTCTTGTTGCATCAACGTTAATTATTCTTGATGTATTTGTCCTATAGAAACCTTGTTGCCATTGTTGACAGATGGAGTTCTCTTATGTCAGGGGTGTAATTTCTTTATGAGCACTTGATAAAGGTTTTCTTCGGCTACTTTTCTTTAAAAGAAAATGTGGAATTAAAAATGAAAAATACCTCTCATAACAAGACATTGAAAAGTGATTTAATATATATTCCAAAAGAGATTTAGATTTTACACCACCAGACAACTAAATGGTCACATGGAGCATTACCAAGGTATTATTTTCTCGGAGCATTTATACTTTTCTCCAAAATAAAGGCTGAAGAGGATTCAGGCCTTTTGTTTAACTAACTGAATCTTAAATTTAAAATGTGGTCTTTGATTTTATGAAAACTTTCAAGTTCCATGTATTTCATTTTCTTCTTTCATACCTAATTTTGAGTTGTTTTTTTTTAGCTAAGATGATGGCTGAAGTTTTAAACACTCTTTGAAGTTTTAAAATAAAAAACTGAAAGAGAACTGTAAAGTCACACAAACTGTACATTTCAGCTTCAACAATAAAAATACATTATCATTGGAATATATCAAATAGACTTGGTATACAGATATTCTGGTAACCATATGAAAAATTGAAACTATAATGTATGAATAACCCAGTCTCATGTTTACCTAAAAGCAGACAATCAACAGATTTGGAATTATTTTTTAGCCCCCAGACAGACTTTTCTAACCATCATGTTGTGGAGAACTGCATTGCTACTTTGACTGCAGAAGTATCATGGGTGGGCATCTGCTCCTCTAAGGAAAAGCATAAGGGGTTTGATTAAATATTCCCAATAGTAACATTGATGTTTGCAGTGGAGTTAAGGACTGCAGTTCAGCTTATTGTGAACTACTTGAAGCAGAATATTAATGCTTGCTTAATGTGAAAAAGTCTGGACAGGACTTGGCTTGAAGCAGCTAATGCTAGGACACTTTAGAAGGTAATATAATCTGCTGATGAGGAGATTAATTTCTCCTGCAGAAAAAGGGAGGATGTCCCCATGCTCAGGTATGGTACAGGTACTTGTTTACTAGCGATCAGTACAGTATATTAATACAGAATTACAGTGAACTATTCAGCAGTTGTGCACTCTTTACTCCAGCAAAAGAACTTTGGTTCCTGCTCCACAGCTGCTTATTTATAAAGCAGGAAGTAATTAAGATAGTCACATGTCTTATTTTGAATGTATTGGTTTATGTAGTTGTGTGTTTTAGTGGGATATCCAGAGCTTCAGGAATATTCATAAATTTATATGTTGATTTAGAAAGTATATTCAGTACAATTTATAAAGGAAACAGTATGTTGCTACCTCTTCAGATCTTGCTTTAACTTTTTGCTTTTAACTTAGAAAACTCTCGTTGGTTCTATTTGCTAGAACTTTTTGAAAGAATGAATATTTACCAAAATATAGAATGCAGTTTTTGAATCTGTTACCAAAAATTGTGTTCATTATATACTTCTATGTGAAGTGCTACTTCTTGTATTGATTTACAGCACAAGTTTCTCACAGAAGCGAGCTATCTATGCTAAAGAAAGGTAGACAAATACAGGAGTCTGAACAACCTTTCATGGCCACTGAGGAAGAAGGGCTAGGAATTCATTCGTTTATCTGAAAGTTACAGTGCCAGTTCTACTTAAAATATAACACATTGGTAATTTTTAGATCATTGTAACATGCATATGAAGAAATCAAGAACCCTCTGTATGATATATGAGTTTTTTCACCCTTGTAATGGGTAGTCTTTTAGAAAATGCACACTGAAATTTTCAGCAAAATATATTTAATACACTGCTTTAATGTAATACTTACATATTTTAATTTCCCTTTTTTGTTAGCTTTCTGAGAAATATGGAGTCCATGTTTGCGGAGAAGGTGGAGAATATGAAACATTCACTCTGGACTGCCCTCTGTTTAAGAAGAAAATAGTTATGTAAGGAACATTTTCTTCCATTTCCTTGTATTAAAGCAATAGGAACATACTCACATTTAGCTTGAGGCAACTTTTGTTGGCAGAGGTAAAACATGTCTTCTAAGTTCACAAACACTCACTTTGTTTAACACTGGCAAAGTCCTCTGAAAACCTAAATCAATACCTGACAAGACGAGGCCTTCATAGAGGGCTATAAACTTTTTAGACATTTGCACTTTCGTTTACTTGCTGATTATGGCCTGCAGTAAAACTGGTACCTACACACTGACATTTTTATCCTTTCATGAAGTGCGAATTGCCTATAATATTTATCTTTCATTACAGCTACATTTGATAAACTGCCACATCAGTAGCCTGTGGGTTCCATTAACTGTGTGTATGTGTGTTTTAAGTTTAGCAGCTTAGAATGATAACAATAAACATTTTTCTGCCATTATCAGAGGATATTTTAAATACAAACTTTGCATGAATTCATCTCATTTACAGAGTAGTTTATTCATTTGACATAAATTGCTAAAATCTGTGTAGTGACATACGGAAAATATTTGTGTGTGAGTTTCTTATTAGTCTGTTAGATAGCTATGCCTACTTACTTTCAGTGAGATGTTTTGACTGCTGTTCCTTTTCTTAGCCAGATAAACAGATGAGTAATCATGTATTGGTGCTACTGAGTCATCTTAGGGAAGGTCAAGATTATGGAGCATATAGACATGATTAAGACTTTCATGGTGAACATCTATTTGTTTCATTTTCCTGTAAGATGTGTCCATATAAGCAACAGAAAACCAACAGCTGTTAACTCTGTTTCATTGCATGGCATTTGGGAGAAGCAGAGCAATAGATAAACCTGTGAAAGGCATGGCAACTAATCTGGTAGATGTCTGTTGAACTATTGACTGACTGGAAGATACGTGAGTGAACTAAAAAACTAGATAATTTGAGTCTGGAGATACTTCTGTGCAGGAAATCTATGGAATTCTTTAGTAAGAAGAAGATTCAGAAGGTAACAATGTAGAATCTTTAAACTGGAATTAAGAATGTATGGGCCAGGAAGTGAGAATCTTGGAGAAGATTCTCTGAGGGGAACAAGGTGCTAGGTAGAAGCCGTACATTGTGAGCCAACCTGCTGACTAGTAGGAATTGGAAAGTTAAGCGGGAAGTTAGGATAAAATTTGTATGATGCTTGGGTACATCTTATCAGAAATAAACTTGGGGACAAAGGACAAAACTCCCCAATATGCCCTCAGGTAGAATCAGTTCAATCTCTTCTAGCAAAACGGAAAATATTGTGAAATCATTGCTAGAGCATGATTCATTTTTGCATTTAAAGTCTGATATGATTTCTGCTAAACTGACAAATTCTTATCAATTCCAGTAGATGTCAGAGGCAGAATTTTGTGAAACTTTGCCATTTAGACTAATACTACCCTTTACCAGCTGTGTGGCCTATTCAGCATTTGTATTGCAACATTTAGAACAAAAAGTATACTTCAGAAGGATAGCCAGTTTTTAACTGAGATTAAATATACTTGTATCAGTTTTTGCACTTAATGTGTTTGGCTGATTATTTACATTCTTTCTATTTATTTTGAGGCTTCTTATGTTACAGATTAAATCTGGGAGTTCATTGGAATTGGATGCATAATTTTCCCATGTTCCTTTTCAAAGCTCTCTTTGCATAGATTCAGCAGGTCGAAGAAAACTATGTCAAATCTCATGAGAAATTATTGATTAGTGTAGTGTGGAGATTTTTTTTTTTTTTTTTTTTTTTAATGCATAGAATTTGAGGAACACTTTTAGGAAAGTACATTTTGCCCTTTGTTTGGGATCAACCAAATACCAGTTTAAGTAGGAATATCTTAGAATTTATTCTAAATGTATTTCTGGCTATCAGTGGTTTAATGACCATTCAAGCAACTAGGAAAAGCTAAACCAGAGATGGTCTGGATGCCTTGTCTTTATTTCTATTGGCAACACTCCAATTAATAATAGAAGTTAACAATAAATGCAAAAAAAATACCGGAAAAGACAAATATATAAATCAGTGGATATTTAATAATAAATATATGGCACAGCAGACTTTTAAACAGTTACTCAACTAGTTTCTGTAATGGAAACTGAATAGCTACACTGGCATTGTGTGTCTCTGGCTTGATTAGCCCTGCTTGGCTCTTACATTGTTCATGTCATAAAGACATGACTTTTGAGGGACCATTTATGTGAAATCTATTACTTTATGAACTTCTAAAGAAAAATATTTTGTAGCTTCTTTGTCATTGAGTTACAAGTTTGTTTATTTTCTGCTTTTTATTCTTGCTTCTCATATACACTGAATTTAAACAGTTTGTAATTGTGTTGTTAACTATGGTAGTATAGTTGCCAAATGTTTAGGTAGCTGTGGTTCTGGTATGTAGGCTGATACAATTTTTGAAGCTTAAATGGAGTTGTAAAAATTAAAATTTAGAAGTTAAAACCTGTCAGGATTTTCAAGGTCCCTAAATTCCTGAACTCTTCGAAGACATCTTCTTAGAGAAAATTTCTGAGGAAGACACTGAAGATTACCTTTGCTTCCAAAACAGAGGTGATGGAGTGACCTTGGCTGGCTGCCAGGTCCCCACTAAGCTGCCCTCACTCCCCCTCCTCAGCAAGATGGGGAGAAAATGGGATAAAAAGCTTACAGGTCAAGATAAGAGCAGGGTGATGGCTTACCAATTACTGTCATGGGCAAACCAGACTCAACTGGGGGAAAATTAATTTAATTTATTGCCAATTAAAAAAAAATAGAATAGGATAGTGAGAAACAAAGACAAAACTAAAAACACCTTCTCTCCCCATCCCATTTTTCCCAGGCTTAACTGCACTCCTTTGTTCCTGACTCTTCTACATCCTCCCCACTGAGCAGTGCAAGGGGATGGGGAATGGGGGTTGCGGTCAGTTCTTAATACTGCATCTGGCTGCTCCCGTCTTCACATGTCACCTCCGCTTCAGCCTGGTCTGTTCCACGGGCTACAGTCCTTCACGAACTGCTCCAGTGTGGGTCTTTCCCACGGGGCAGTTCTTCAAGAATTGCTGCAGTGCAGGTCCTTTCTATGGGGTACAGTCCTCCAGGAACAGACTGCTCTGTGTGGCTTCCTCTCCATTAGCCGCAGTTCCTGCCAGGACCCTACTCCAGCATGGGGTCCTCCACAGGCTGCAGAGTGTATATCTGCTCTGATGTGGTCCTCCATGGGTTGTCGGGAGCAATCTGCTTCACCATGGCCTTTTCCACAGGCTGCATGGAATCTCTGCTGTGGCACTTGGAGCACCTCCTCCCACTCCTTTTTCGCTGACCTTGGTGTCTGTGGGGCTGTTTCTCTCCCATTTTTCTCATACCTGGCACAGCTGCTGCACAGCATTTTTACCCTTTTAAAAAATATGTTATCACAGATGCACTACCAGTGTTACTGATGGCCTTGGCAACCCCTGGTCTCTTCTCATAAAAGCCACCCCTGCAGACCCCCCCCGCCCCGTTACCAAAACCTTGCCACACAAACCCAATGCAACAGGAGAAAATCTAGTACTCCTGTCATTTATAACACTACTTTGAGATAGTGTTTTCACTGGTCAATGTTTTTGTCATGTGAAACTTTTGACAAAATATGTTTCTACAGTGTATCCTTTGAAAAAGAAGGAAATCTGCTAGTTCAGGAAAAGAAAAATATAGCCTTAGTGTGTTACTATGGAGAAGGAGGAGTCTCTTTAATTTAAGACTATATGATGAATTTTGCTTCTGAATATTAAATTGAATTCTTGCCATTCATCTCAACCTTCATTAAAAAACATGCCTCACAAAGGAAGCATGGCAGATTGAGTGAAATATTTGAAAATAAACAAGATTTGGCAGTGAAAGCAAGATCTTCTGATCAAAATATTCAACCAAGAGTCAGATGGGTTTTTATTTGGTTTTCCCAGGTAGACTATTGTAATCTGGTTGTCAGCTTTCTTATGCTCGGTATTTGAGAGGTACGAAGCGTTTCCTGTCCTACTTACACTGATATTTAAAGTACAATTGATTGACACCTCTTCAAATCATAAAGATATATTTCTCATCTATGTGAATGCCATCTAATATCTACTGTTATGATAAAGGCCTGTTTATGTTTATGGAACAGAGAATATTTTGTTGGATTTTTTTTTCTTTTGGTAAATTGGCATATTTGAAATATTTGGGAAGTATAATTTTGCATTTGTATACCTTACCATTAGCTCTGTGTTTAGTTTTGTAATTCTAGATTTGGAGTTAAAAGCAAATCTGTAAACAAGAAAAAATAATTATGTACTGAGAGCACTGATTGTACTCTCAGACTTGCTCCAACATGTAATATTTGTCCTGTGAAAATATTAAGGAGTATTTAAAAATGATTAGGTATTTCCTAGATCTTCCAGGAAACTTGAGAGATCAGATTATGATGATTTCAAAAAATAGGCAATTAGGACAGTTTTTTAACTATTCTTCATTGTTTTCCAAAGTCTTCTAAAAATGTTCCTCAACAAAATTCCCATGCTTGCATCATCATCAAACATGGGTCACCTCATGTAGTCATGTTCCTACTCAAAATTCAAACTTTCAGCTTGAAATGGCTTTTATATAATTATCAGGGTCTCTCACATTACTGTTTACCATTTTAATCTCTGCTTTTCATGTGGTTTGGGGTTTGTTTGGTTTTTTTTTTACTATTTCCTAAACTGGACATGACGTGTAAGTTTTTAATTGGTGACTCATCCTTGAACACAAAGAAAGCTGTTCTACTTTCTACCTGTTTGTTACATTAACTATTGAACAAGGCTGTGAATTTTATCAATTAGAACAATGATGTATGTTTGGAGAGACTGACAGAAAATGAAGTAGTTTGGAAAAAATATTTGTATATGTATTGTAATACTATTTTCAGCACCACATAATCTACCTATTGTGACCCATCACCTGAGAGATGTTGGCATATTAAAGTAGATATCTATTATGGTCCCATGAAATACCCTTCTGTTAGCTGTATGTCATAGGAATGTACTTCATACCGGGAAGAAATATTTATGATGTTAACATTTGCAATACTTCTTGAGCAACAAATAAGTACTCAAAAATTCTAAAGTTATTGAACAGTTAGCCTAGGTATCAATATTTAGTATCTGTTCTGTTGTACTAGTGAATTGGAACATGCGGGGATGCAAGTAGAACTGTTTCTTTTACTTTGGAGTTAAATATATTTTTTTAAGTTACTAAGTATTCTTTAAATTCAACAGACACATACATTTAATAACCCTAAATTTTTGTTTTTCCTTTCTGATTTAAGCTTTTCTGTTAATTTAATTTTAAGTAGTTAATACATCACTGAAAAGTGCCAGACTTCCCCATTTAGAACTTGAACAACAAGCAAGAAATGTTTATTGAGAATATCCTCAGACACTGAGGATTCTCAGGTACTAGGTACTACTGGAGTCTTGGTGACTGTGTTTTATTATTTCTAATTATGTATTCCTGTTACTAAAGATCTCCAAAGTTATTTTCTACGTATTTCTGTTAGAATTAGAAGACCATGGTCATTTGAAAAGAATGATTTTAATCCTAAGGGACTATCTTTAAGATATCTTAAAGGAATAAGTGATATTTTAATTGTAAAGAATCGTGATAGTAACTCTCAAGAATGAAACTGAAGGCTTATTTATCAAATACTTTAAAAGTTTACTAAAAGCAAAGTGAAGCTTCATATGTTAAAGGTATTGATCATTATTGTATAATGTAGTGATGATGATTATCTTGGTTTTGTTATTTTAAATCCCAGAACACATTTTATAAAACAGATATTTCTGTTAATTTCACACTTTTTTTAAGTCAGTGGAATCTGGCCAAGTCTTCAACTGTTTCCAGTTTGCATGTTTTTTGTGTGGCATTACTAGAAATCTATCTCATCTCATCTCATTGAATACTATGAGGGTATCAAGGGCACTGTGATTTCAAGAAAATTATCTGTGTGTCCTTAGCCTTACTTATAACAATTTTCAGATTTTCTTGTACTGTGTCTGACTTTCTCTTATGTTTTCTTTGAGTTTCCCACCTTCTGATGTTTGTTTCCTAGAGCTACCTTTTTCTTAAGTAGTAAAACCATGCAGATGGATATAACAGATACTGCCTCTTGTGAATCAAAGTGTGACAGATTGTGTCTGTAAAAATGAAAACTAAAATTAACTAATTTGAATCAGCACACAGGAAGTTTATCATTGTTACTAACACATTTGGCATTAAAAAGTTGTGTCTAGTAGTCTTCAATATCAGATGCAAGATGGTTGAATCAGTCAGTTTCTCAGCATGAAATATTGTATGTTGTTAATACTTCAAGAACTAAACCCTGGAGCATTAATCAACAGCAATGGACTTTTAGAAAATCTCCTGTTGATGAAATTAAAAGATTGCTTTACATACTAGTCTCTAGAATGTAAAACATAGTGTCATTTATGCTTTCATAGGCTACAACTAACTGAGTCTCTCAATGCTGGTCTGGAAGTGTGGGAAAATAATGGAAGATTGGCAAGGAGGATTGTAAACACACTCAAGTGACTTGCAGCTGGGGTGTCAAAACCCACATATATCATACTAATTGTTGTTTGGCCTTGTGTGTTGGACAAGTAGAACATCTGTGTTTAGATAACATAGGCCTGTGATAGACTTAGAGGCACCCTATCAAACATGCTTCAGATTCCTGCCCTGCTGTGGGAAAGATCAAAGCACAGTGGTAAATTACGTCTGCATGAATCCCTGAAATACAGGCAAAACCAGCAGGTTCAGTGATCTTCTAGTATGGACCGAGATCCATGGTACCTGCATCCCTGCTTGCGTGCCTCTGCCTGGGTGCTGCTTTGGGGATCCCTGGGTTGGCGAAGTAACGAAAATACATTTACTCTTTGCATTTCATCTGTGGTTTTGTGGTTGTTCCTGCGACCTGCCTGTGCCAGCTCACACAGGAAGTATAGTTTATTCGTTTTGAAAATTGAAAAGTAGTGAAGATAATGTGTTGTTCAACAATAAGATTTTATATACCAAACTATTATTTCTTAATTTAAATAAAAACTAAATAAGAAATTAATACATTTTCAATGAGTTACCTTGGAGTCTGTGTTATACGGCAGCCGAGTATGGTCTATATGTAAAATTATATACTAATATTTGATACTAAGAATTTTGTATTTCAGAGATGCAGCCAAGGTGGTTGTGCATTCGGCTGATGCATTTGCGCCTGTGGCCTACCTTCATTTTTTAAAATTACACCTGGAGAATAAGGTAAGTAGTTTGCAAATGTCGTCTTCCTTTAAAGCTAAATGTATGCTTTCTGTTTTTGCATTGCCTTGTCACAGTTTGGAGTGAAAGTACATATTCTCATGTGAGTGTACTTTCAAATAACAATGTACATATCTAGTTGAATTTCAGAACTTACCATAAGGAAAGACTCAACACAAATGCTTCCTTGTGTCAAATGAATGAATGTAGGTAGTATATTTGTATAGCATTTTTCATCTTGAAACCTCAAGGTGCTCAACCAAAGTGGTTCAGTCAACCACATGTGTAACCTGTGTAGTACAGCTAGCCACACTGTGGAACACAGCTATATTAGGAAACTGAACAGTGTTGATCTGCTGGGAGGTGGCATCTCTTTTTGCTGTTTCTGGTGTACAGTAAATGATTTTAAAACTTTCTGAGCTGCAAGTGATCGAGTTTTAAACATACTGGTTTTTGGTTTATCTTTCCCATAGGAAAGATACATCTAATGAAAAACTTCAGATCATGTAGAGGAGATTATCCTGGTCAAAGATCTTAAAGGAATCATTAGTTGTTCACTGGGATTCATGCTCTTAGCTTATGATTACACAGAAACAACAGAACAGAAATAGGACCTCTAGTGGTTTAGGTAGTGCAGACTTCTATGTAAGCAGGGCTGAGAAGGTCAAAATACAAGTTATGTTTCTTAGTATTTGTCATCCCTTCCTTATTTTTCTTTATAGGTAAAATGATTTTTTTTTTTTCTTCTGAACATCTGTAAGTGCTAGTATTTTGTTGAAGAGGGTACCTCATGATCTTCCTACTGCTGTTGCAGTCATCTTTTTATAGGTCTTCCGACCTCTTTCTACACTTTGAAGATCACTGGACCTCTTCTAGGTGCAGGGATTGTTATAGAATGATATTATATTGGTATTTTACATTTAATGTCTCTTGAACAACTACATTTCCTGAATTTCTTTCAATACATCATGCCTTTCCCCCCCCCCCCTTTTTTTTTTTTTTTTTTAGTTTTATGGTTCCAAACAGATAAAGTACCTGTGCATTTTTTCTTCCATGATGGCCTCATTCTTGCCTTGGAAAGTAAATTGTATTTCATCCTGTCAATTTCTAGTTTGGGATTTCTTTAAAAAATTAAATATTTGTGTGGGAGACTGTGAAAAGGATATCAACTAACTATGTGAAGCAAAACCAAATAGGCTGAATAAAGGGAAATTTGGGAGTGGGGCATAGTGGGGAGAATGGTAATATATTAATATTTCTTTGGGGGCACTGACTTTATTGCTCATGGCAAACTTGATGCTAAAATGCACCATATATCACTACAATGTGACAGGCTAGGGAAAATGAAAAACACAAAGCTTTACATAAATCAGGCTAAAAATCATATTAAAATGCATAACATTTTATATAAGAATCAAGATTTTACTTTTATCTGTTCAGAAGGTCTTTTTCCCTTATGTAGATGTTTTAGATTTGGTTAAAGCCTCACAGTTTCAAGCAGTGTTGTAGTAAATCATATTTCACATCCATTGTAGACAAAGCTGTCACACTCTCAAAGGGGTAGGGTTTACAGAGGCTTGCCCTGGATTTTGGTATATAAACTAGCGTCTTGTATAGTTGAAAGGCAAATAGTCTATTTTCTATAGTGCTTGTCTCGTAAGGAAAAGTATTAGAATCTTTTGGCTATAGATTATTTTACGTCACAATAAAATAAGCTAGGTTTTAAAGAAGTTACGGAGAAGCAGTCTTTCAGAGCATAACTTGTTACCAAGTTAGCATGGTTTAACTGCATAATGATAAAGAGAATTGATACGCCTGTAGTACCCTACTTTTTCCTACTATTTGGTGCTTACAAGCCCTACAAAAAAAATTTAAGTATCAGTTAGTAGTTCAGCACTTAAAAACCAATCCTAGAATAACAAATCACTGCAAGGAAAAATTGCTTTAGAAGGAGAACTAATTTTAGTTCCAGGCTTTGAAGGGATTACTGAAAATTGAGCAAAAAATACTCCATTATGAGCAATGTATAAAAATATTCACTTGTGTAAAGCACTTTGTAGAAACTATTAAGAGACTGCACAGTGATGTGTAGTTTTAATAACTATTATGACGTCAGTTTTGTTATCATTTCAACTGAAAGATACACATATTTTTAACTTTTATTGTATATTCATTTTATCTTTATTGTGTGCCACAGGTGTTAATTTTACATTCTTTGAATTTACTTTTATAATCATTATGCAATTATAGCTAGCGTACCTTAGTTACTGCTGTCTTTCCTCCTCTATAATGCATTTTCTTCAGCTAAATCTCTTCATGTTTAACTACAAAGCCGGCGTAGAAATTGGGTTTAGATTGTTTCTGGCAGCGAAATAAGCCCTTGTGCCTGGGGGAAAATAACATTTTACTCACTATTCTAGTTTAATACATTACTGTGCAACTTCAAGATGTGTTTTTACATAATAATTGAAGCTTTTTTTAACACACCCTCTTTTATTTCATTACCAGTGATATAGAAAAGGCAAAAGAGATAAATATAAGATTTTATTATTAAAATATTATTAAAAGTTTGGTAAACACAGCTTAAGATAACTTTTTAATAGGTATTTTACAGAAACATTAAGAATAAATAATAATGCTTATAAAACACTAATGCTCAAAATTTGAGAATGTGTCATTTACTTCATGGTAAAATACAAAGTCACCACTATGATGTACATAATACAGATACCTAGCTTCATCAGTATTTTACTTCGTGAATAAGACTGTCACTTTGTACATTTAAAATGTGGAATGTTTTTTGTTGAAGGGAGGCAATTTCTGCAGCATATTCCAACATCTTTAAATCAAGTGTATCGACCTTTTTATTCAATGCAAATTTAATTTTTAATATTTTCAATTAGGAAAAAATACAACTGTGAAACATTTTTTTTTTTTACTTTGACAGCACAAGGAACTTGCAAAATATTTTTACTTCCCCCATATTATACAATTCTGTTACTACTCTGTTAAGTTGTGTTGGCTTTTGAATGATCAGAAACAGAAATTAAAACTGTTGGAGCTTCTGCTGGTGTGAACATACTTCTGATGACAGTAGTGAACATATTAGCTGTCATTTATGCTTTAAGATTTGCTCTTTCCCACATTTAATAATGAATACTTTGTTCCCCGAGTTCCAGTGAGTAGAAGCACGCATACATTGAACAATACAAGCTGCAAAACTGCAGCCCCTTAAGTTAGGGATAGTTTAGAGGGAGTCAAGCAGTTTTCTTTCTACACTTGGCAGAAGAAAGGAGCCTGTTTGCCTGTAAGAGGTACAGGAATCATGCCTGCTGCTGCTCTATCTTGTAGCATACTATTGTATTATATTTACCTATCATAAATTGATATTGTGAGGCTTATTTGTTTTCCTGTTTGTAAAAGATCTTGACCTGTTTGGGTGGAACACATTTCAAAAGTGCAAGCAGTTTTGCCTCTGTTAGCCATGAGCAAATCTATTTCACAGGTCAATTTGAAGATGATTTTTAAAACACTTGTAAAAGTTGAAAAGGTGTTTGGGAAATACTTACATGCCTTGTGTACTAAAGGAGCATGATCCTGCATGTTAGATTTGATTTAACTTTGTAGCCTATTTCTGTCCAGTTTCTTCTGGCCTGAATTATTTTAGTTAATCTCCATTTAGGACTTTAGCTGTAGAATTAGACTTTGTAGGTGATATCAGGGGGAAAAGGATGGAATTTTGAGTTGCAGAATGTGTTTTGTTGGTGGCATTGTGGGTGGCATTTTTTGAGTACTTTCTCATCATTGAACGGTACTTCTCCTAGGTAACCTTTAGTTTCCCTTCTGCGTCATAAGAGTATAGATAACCCTTGTAGTTATGTTTTCAAAACTTTATAACAAATACTGCAAAATATTTTTGTACACTGATTTGTTTCAAACACTAACATAACAAATAAAGGATTTTCTTTCCTGTTCCATTTGTTTGCAGATTCAGTCCAATTCTCTGAGAAAAGGGAATTTTTTGTTCTCTTATCATAATGAAGAAACTTTATTTGAAAGTCTTTCAGAGTAAAGGACTTTCTTTCCTATGTGTCTGTGTGTTGTACTTGAAATGCTGCTAGATGTATGTGCTCTCTCTCATTATATTTATTTCAAGGAGTTCTGTTATCAAGATACACTGCAAAGAATAAAGAGATTATCATAGTCTTTCCTTATGTCTTCTGAGCTCTCTGCCCCACTGTATTCTCATTGCTGTTCAGTGGGACAACTATCAGTTTTGGAATTGTGTTGTGATAGGTTTTTATACCAGTTTCTGTGGTGGAGAATGTAAGTGTTTTAAGAAGGCAATCTGTTGTTTTCATAAAAGACCAGTGCGTGGAATTTCAGCTATATCAGTCAAAGTCCTAGCTCCAAGGCTTTTTCAACAGGAGAATTTGGATCTTGGAACAGTTGTGCATTTGCTTAACTTCATTCTGAGCACACTTGCATCAATGACATGAGTTATGTGAATATAGTTAAGCATATGCATGCATGCAGGCTCTGATCCAAAATTAGGTTGGTATCACAATGTACAGTGGATGTGGGAGAAACAGTGTAACAAATGGGAAAATACACTGCTTCTGTGAAGTAACATGAAAATGTTATGTGATAAAATAGGTTCTGTAAGATTTAATTAAAATGTCATTATAGCAAGCTTGATTTTTTGTTTTTAAAGTGATGAGAGTATTATTAAGGGAAAGTTTGTTTGTGGCAGTCTATAACTTCTAAGTTTTAGCTTCTTAGATTACTTTCTCTGTCGACAGGAATGGAAGACCAGCATTTGTATGAGGTTTGAATGTAGCTGCTAAACAGAGTTTGGCAGCTCTACTTAGGCTGGCATTGAGCCTGTTGTTCTTCTAGTGCCAAGTTCCACACCTAATACTTCTGCTGTAGCCTGCACCTGTGCTGCTGCAGAAAGTGATTGATTACCTATGTTTTTGGAGCATTGTGGGAGTCAGCCTTGAATGAATCATTGTGACGTATCATAGGTATTGAAATCAACAGTAGTCTGTAATTATTTTTACGGTCTTTGGTGTATGTAAGAGACATTGTGGAATTTCTAGTATTTATTAGTAATTTCCAAAAATGTTGCAACTGACCAGCTGTTTATGTATGTGTGTAAACACAGATATATAATTTTATTTATATCTGTGAAGCAATATTGATATAAGCTTAATAATTTATAAAATATTCACATATTTAGGAAAAAGGGCTGTGAGTGTGGATGATACAAAAATTTCATGCAGCATCAATTTGGGATATTTGTACTATTAACAAATTACAAAGCTACATGGGAGTTCTGTAGGTTACACCAAACCAGTTGTGATACAGTCTGTGAGTCTCCCTACATCCCCATGATTATTTTTTTTATGAAGCACATTTTGCAGAAAACATGTTTAGAAATATAGTTGAAAGAAAAATTTTAACAGATGGCATAAAAATGGAATAGGTGCTCTTTTCATCTTTACTTGCAGAGCGTATAAATTCAGTCCTCTAGGTTAGAGATTGGAGAGAAGTTACAGGTCTCTAACAGAACCTACAGAAGATATCTGTAGCTCTAGATCTCTTGAAAGGTAATTATGTAAAGCTTAACAAAAGCGAGAAACAAAGTGGTTGTCATACTGGCAAGCTGGAACTTTTCCAGTTAACATATTTTCTGCCTAGTGATGGATTGTTATACCATATTGAAGTTAAAATCCAGGTGATGTAAAAACAAAACCCAAAGCAGCATTGTGATAGTATCATTCATATCACCATGTCTGCACATGCTTACTTGGGGAAGGACCAGGGCGTGCAATCTCTGTGTATGTTACATTAGTACTCAGGGGATGCCTGTGCTACAATGCAAATTGATTGTTTCATGATGGATGTTACAAATTAGCCAGTGAAAGCAACTAATTTAATAAAACAACAATTAGCAAGAAGGAAATGGTAGCACTTCCAACACTTCATGTGGTTATACAGTCTGCTATTTCTATAGAGCTATGTCTCATAGATAAAAAAATAGCAACTTTAAAAAAAATAGAAAAATGGAATTTTCTTGGTTCTGGTAGCATAATCCAGCTTAAGATCTATTTCAATTACAGATTTGTGTTCCTACTTCTTTATTTTCTAAGTCATACCTGAAGGGTTAGAGGCTATCAGGCAGCCCTCTGGGTAATGGCAAAATATATCAAGCAACAGCAGTAGTCAGAGGCATAATTCAGTGAGTGGGAAATAGTAGAGGTGCTGTTGGATGCTTGTATATTATAGTGTTGGAATGCATGTCGTGTTTGTTCTAAATTACAGTTTTCATCTTTGCGCTAGTGTGTTACATTTAGTTGACTTCTTTTAACCTCTCATGTACAATTGATTCTCATAAAGTAGATTATTACCTTGACTTTCATGACTTTCTTGGAGGAATGAGTAAAATGAAGTCCAATCAAAGAACATCAGCCCCTCTTAGAGCATAGCTTTAGTGTTCACAGTGCTTATAAAACTACCCTTGAGCCCTTTTAGAGGCAGCAGAGCTGAGTTTCCTCTCATAGGTAGTGACCTTTTTGTAATTCAGCCTTTCCTGAGAATTTCCAGGCACACTGCTTTAACTTCACTGAATCTTTTTTCTCTCCAGTGAAGTCAAATATTGATGTAAATGCTGAGTTCTGATTGCAGACTTCTGATGCATACTGTAGTTTTCTGGTTTTTTTCCTTCGCCCTTTTTTTTTTTGCTTAATAACAAGAGAAAACTTTTGAAGTTGCAATATGTTTTATTTTGCAAAAGAAAGAAAAAAAATACAATAAAACGACTTTTTAAAAAAAGTCTATATTCAAATTTATTAGTAATTTTTAATACATTTTAATATATTATTTAATATATGTTTTTTGTTTGACAGCTTGATAAGATCTAATTGTTAAAAAGTAGAGAATGCAGAGCATCAAACTTCAGATGACCTCATGAGTGCTTTGCTGTATGATGTTAATACTCTTTTTCATAGACACTTTGTATGAAAGTTCTTTTAGCTCACAAATTATTGTACTATCTATAGAATATTCAGCAGTTTCTAATCCATGTTTAAGGATTACCAAGGGCTTCATATTTTGTCAACTTTTTGTCTTGCTTTATTTTGCTTTATCATTTTTGTGAATTTAGTATTTAAGAAGCCTGCAGTAAAATGTATGGTTTAGACACTATATGAAATTTGAGACCTTTGAGCAGAAAATCAGTCAATAGAATCTGGAGTTACAGCATGCTTTGATGTTTGGTTAAGGTTTATGGATAAATTCTGTCGTAATTCATATTGGTTTTAGATGAAGACTAGTAGTAGTAGCCTAGCTAGTGATCCCAAAATTAACATACTCTGCAAATTAGGCTGCCTTGGAAAATCAGATGGAAGAGAGTAGGGGTTCTGATTGCTTTAAAATGAAAAAAATATATATGTATGCTGTAATTACATGACTTTATAATGAACACAGAATTTTGGAAGACTGGTCAGTACATACTCTGCCTGTGTATTTTGCTTTAAAAAGCATGCTGGATGGTTTTCCTAGGCCTAAGAGAGCATTTGGGAAGAAGAGAAGGTACAGTGAATTATTTTCCTTCCTGGTCAAGAAGTTACTTTGATGTATAAATCTTGGGAAACGTTCTTTTCTGTATCTCAAAAGTCTGAGCATCCCAAAGCGTGATGAGGTTGCTGGAAGGGATAGTCTTTGTGAGATGAATGGTGAATGGAAAGAGATTTTTGGTTTTTTTTTTTTTATGTGGACTGCATTCATAGAATCATAGAATCATTATGGTTGGAAGAGACCTCAAAGATCATCAAGTCCAACCATATGCCTGATGCCACCATCCCCACTAAACCCACTAAACCATGTCTCAAAAATGGTTCATGTCTTCATTCAAGGTTCCAGCAAGTTTTAAAACTTTGTTAGTCTTTTACTCTGTTTCAAGTGTTGAGTGACAGTGTTAATCATCAAATTGTTACTTTTGTACTTTTGTTCGTAGTTTGACTTAATTTATGCTGTTTTTGGAAAAAATAGTTGTCATGTGTATAATTGTGGAATAGCATTTCTTCATCATAGTATTCTTTCCGTCTCTTATCTTGAGTCTCATAGTTTTTCATATTGTTGTCCTTATTTACTACTAAGTCTGCATTTTTATTCCATATGATATGTCAACAGGAGCACATTGTATTCTGCCAGCTTCTGCAATCTAAATAGTGGGAAATCCTAATGCTGTTCTTCCATGAATTCTTCTAAGCTCATGTACTCATTCAGTTATAGTATTTTTGTAATTGAAACCCACAATTTGAATGATAAAATCTGCTGATTTTATACTGCTTGGCATGTTGTTTACTTATTTTATAATGTTTCTCTCAAGCAGGAGGAATCTTCAGGTACATTTATGGTCAATAGCTGTTCTTGTGAGGTAAGCTGCAATGATGACAATATTTTCCCTTCATCAGAAGAGGATGAACCACAGGAAAGCATTCCAGTCATCTGGAAGTCTTTGAAACGTGATTCTTTGGATTTCAGTGAGTCTTGCACAGCTTCATTAGAAAAATAATATTGAATATTTCATGCCATGGTGGAGTATGCTGTTAATTACTATAAGAACAGTCCTGAAAAGAATGTTTATGACCTTTAATAACCAGTCTGAAAAAAAAGAGATCCTTCTATAATGCAGTTTTCTGATAGGAATCAATAGATCTGTAGTAATGAAGCGTTTCAAGTTATTTTACGGAAGGAGTATAACCCATTTTTTTCCTCTCCTTTTTTCTTTTAGAAAACACACATTAATGTGTTCTGTTTGCCTGAATGAAATTACTGTAATATAATCATTCGAGTGGAGGGATTGAGTTTTATTTAAAAGATCTAACCATACCTGTACTATTTTTAATTTGAAGATAGAAAAGCAAACTCTAAAATGAAACACAAAACGCAACTGTTCAACTTGCATACATAATATATGAGTCTGTCCCAAACCAGGCAACCTCAGGGTAACATGCATGATGAGTTTAGCAGCCTAGCAAGTTTCTGTCTCTCAGGTGAGCTGCAGTAACTAATCATGTGCCTGATACTAGCACTGCCTCAAACATGAAATGATTAATACAAGATAAATCTGAGTTCATAGGCTGGTACCTCATTAAAGTACCACAGCATCACTGATACTCTACAGGCAAAGATTAGTTAATTTTTCTGAAAACTAAGTTTCATAATGTAACAGTGTTTGATATTGAATGGTATTTACGCTCTTAACTATGGATAAGTACCTGGTGGGATGTTACAAAATGTCTAAACGTGTTATGTATTTGTGAAGATGATCAGAACCAGGTTAAACACCTACCTTCCATTAAAATTTAGCATATAAGTTTGAAAATCTGTTCCTGTGTCACTTAGATACTTATGAAAATTCTAACTTTTCAGTGTCATGTCTTGTGCCAACTCTATCAAAACAGGTAGAGAAATTGTAAAAAGTCGCAAAAATGGAAAGGAGGAGAGAAAGTACTGAAATTCTCAGCTAAATACTACTTGCAGGCATATTTTCTGAAGGCAGTGTTAGAGAAGGATTTGTCAAGTAGCATTTGGAAGCTTTGTTACCAGCACACTTTTAAGTTTTTCGTTTATATCTGTTTGTCTGTAAATATTTTTTGAAGATGTTTTTACAGTATGTGTGTTTTTTTTTTCTTCTTCTGTAAAAGTTATTCTTACTTAAACAATTTAAAATATATTCTAGTTTAATCAGAAATCTTTCATTATTATAATCACAGTGTTGTTCTTCATTTCCCATAGCTAAGACGTTTGGAAGTTCAGGAAAATCTCTGAGTGGTTACCAGTGGTTTTCAGGTATCACTGCCCATGTCCTTCCATCAAAAGGCAAAAATGCTCAGGAGGCAGCAAGGGAAGCATTTTCTTCTCTCCGAGGTGATTTGTTCAGTTAATGCATTATGTACTGTTAACTATACTACTCTTAATACGGTATTAAGTTAGAATCTGTATTGTCATATGTTTTTATAACTTTAAATGTTGTGGTTGTCAGTTTGCCATCTCATTTTGCATTTGATTGGAATCATTGATATCAAGACTGCCAGCTTTAATATTGAACACATCATAGTTTGACTGGCTTTTGTAGACCCTAGAAAGCCAGAGTGGTGTTCATATCACTGTAACAACACTGTTTCCACAGTACTTACTTTATAACTTGCTTTATAGCTTTCTTGCAATATATAGTGTGTGTGTGAGAGTGTGCCTGTGTGCTATGGATGCTGTCTACTTGCTAAAGCACTTTTGTAGCTATCATGATTTTAAATTAAGTTTTCTAGAAAGCTGGTGAACATTTTGGCATCTAGGATTAGGTCAGTAGCAGTAAATCTCATTTATATTCTTAATGTAAAGGAGAAATTGCTATCTTGGGAATCATGAAATCCAGGTTCCTTACTATCTCCCTCTTAGAAGATACTGACACATAAAATAAAATGTTTTGTATTTTTTTTTCATTCTAAATTTTAAGTAAAACACGTTTATACAGGTTTCTTTTTATTCCTAAAAATGGAAATAATTTTTAGTATCTAAACAGCTCATGTTCTTGTTCATGAATTTGCGTGAGGTATTTTCCTATGAAATCTTATTTTTTGCATGTGCAGCTAAGTATTCATGATTGATATAGGATGATAAAGAAACTATAGAATTTTTTTCAGAAGCAAAGAAGTTATACTTTGTAGGAGGTCATTAAGCTAGTTTTTGATTGCTTGGAAATCAACAACGTAGATGTGATCAAACATTTAGTAAAAGACGATTATATTTAGTGTAAATCTTCTGGACATAATCTGTAAATTGAAGCAAAAGGGTTGTGTAATGTTTTTTTTGTTCTCATTATATTTGAATGGAAATCTACCAGTACAAACATTACATATTTTTACCTTAGCATCTGTCAAAAAAGATTGTGTCTGTGGCTAGTACAGTAGCTTATTGCTTTCAGCAAATTACTTGTATTAGCTGTATTATAGGAAAAAGAAAAAGAAAAGTGATTTTCTGATCCTTGGTAGAAAATGTCAGTTCTCACATTTCCTTTCTTTTTTCTCTATTTGGAAGTGGGTGTGGAAGATTGAATGAATCATGGTTCTGTCATGGCAAAAGAAACAATTTATTTCTGAGAACTTCACTAATTTGCAAATATGCACAAGGCTTTTTCCAAACTTATACTTAAGATCTGTACAGCTGTTCAGTCTTCAGTGCTGTGAGAATGGAATAAGCACAGTCCTTTTGACCTCTTTGCTGGGTTATCTGATTTAATCACCTCTAAAGAGGATAAATGCTGCCAAAAGGATTCAGAAATGGAAATTAGACGTTATGAAACATGGTTATTCTGTAAGTGGATGGAATTCTCCCATGAAGCCAAGAGCGGGAGGGAATGCAGTACATTACTGTTTATATTTATTTTCTTAAACTCTTTGGTTAAACTTTTTAGTTATGATTGGAATATGACAAAGATTGCAGTGCTTTATATATAAAGCAGCTCTGGTGCAGCTGTACCGTGGCAAAGCTTCATAGGCTTGTAGGGAACTACATAGATTTTTATTATATGAAAATTTAGTCTAAAATGCTACTTCCTGTAGACAGTTTAGATACTGTCTTTTGTGGCTCTCGGCCTAAGGATTCTGGATAACGCATTTAAAAAAATTAAGCTGTACTTTGGCCAATGTTATCTTTTTTGTCAGTTCTTTTCAGGCAGTTCTGCCTAAGTAAGGGTGTGTCTCACCTGATCGCATTTTATAAATTATTAGGAAGAGTGAATGGCTTGAGAGGTTTCTCACGAAGGCAACAGCCAGTAGAGATTGTCTTTACGCTCTTGTACTTCTCCACTGTAAAACAAATATATAGGTATATACAGGTACACACTGTGTATATTAAAGGACAAAATCCTTTAAGTTACACTGAGAAGAGCTTAACATAGCTCATTTAAGTTGGGTCACATGGGACTCTATTATATATGTTCTATATTCAGAGAAGATTTTGTCTTCATTTAGTTTCTATTGCTCATAAGTTACAAAAGGTCCACACTGCAGAACTGATTCACGTATCTTGTTATGGTATTGACTATGTACAAGTAATACATTCTCCCTAAATGCTATGACTGGAATCTTCTATGTATACACATCCAGATGATCTTGACTCCCAGTATCTTTTCTTTAACTGTCTGCTTGAACTTTACTCTGCTCTCATCTTTCCTTCATTTCTCCTGTGGCCACTTGTGTTTCCTATTGTCTGTCTTGCCATTTATAACTCTTTGTTTATGGGGAGATTATTATTGCAGTGAGGGTTTTTAAAAACAGCTTAGACAAACATCCCTCTGGAATACCATATAAATATTTGATCTTTTCTTTGAAGACAGTGATGCAGTAAAGGACCTCTTATTGTCCCTTCCAGTTCTGTACTTTTGTGATTCAAAATACTTTATAGATTACGAGCTGTCATAGACTGAAAATAAAAAAAAATACAAGATAATAAAACTTATGGATACAAGGAATTGGGACGGTAACATAGCTACATGCATTGATGCGTTACGTGTTTTCTTGGGGAAGAATTCACCACTGCTCAGGGTGGATAAAATTTATTTGTATTCTGTTTCTGTGTATTTGGAAAACTAAGATTAGAAAGAATTTCATTAAAAAAATAGGTGTGTGAGGAAAGGTAGTATGTTGCAAAACCTTCAGTCATGTTTATACAACTGTTAAGTTATTTCCAGTTGGTTTTGCTGAACAAAACCAGGATGCTTATGCTGTCTTTCTACAAACATTTAAAATATTCTGTCTTTAACAGCTGTATTATTTTTATCCTGCAGCTAATATGACTTCAGAGGGATTGAAACTGAAGGATATTATTTTGGTTCATCTGTATATGAAGAGCATGAAAGATTTCAATGTTATAAATTCAGTTTATGTGACAGAATTTTATTTGTGTCCACCAGCAAGGTAGGATTAGACTACTGCTGTAGTATATTTATGATACACTGTAATATACTGAATTATTGTTACCGTATTTATGAAGCTTTTGTCAAATGTTTGTGCTTCACAGACTTAGAAATAGACTTTTTCTGCCTTTTGGAGTAATCACATCAGAGCTGCTCAACTCAAAATCACTAGGGTTGAAATTCTTGCCTTAATATATACTGTAAGGTTTATAAATGCCTCCCCCTGTATGAACTTACAGAAGAATAATACATTCTTTGCAAGTCTTAGTTCTTCTCTGTGACTTGATTGAACTGACAACTCTTTTGTAGTGGTGGGATTTTATTTGCTTTTCTTGTTTGTTTCCCTCCCTTGATCTGCTGGTGATGCTCCTCTGAATGCAGCCCAGGATACTGTCAGCCCTCTCTGCCACAAGGGCACTTTGCTGTCTCATGGTCACTTGGTGTCCATCAGGAACCTCCAGGTCCTTCTCTGCAAAGCTGCTTTCGAGCTAGTTGGCCCCCAGAATATACTGGACCACGGGTTTGTTCCTCCCCCGGTGCAGGACTTTCAACTTGTTGAACTTAATGAAGTTCCTGCATGCCTGTTTTTCCAGCCTGTCAAGATCCGTCTTGATGGCAACGGAAATCTCTGGTGTATCAGCCACTCCTCCTGGTTTTGTATTATTTGCAGACTTGCCAAGGATACACTCTACCCCATCATCCAGCTTAATAATGAAGATGTTGAATGGGACTAGACCCAGTATAGACTTCTGGCGTACACCACTAGTTACTGGCCACCTGTGAGACTTTGTGCCACTAATCTACACCCTCTGGGCCTGGCCGTTCAGCCAGTTTTCAGTCCATCTCAGTGTCTGCTCCTCCAGCCTGTACATCAACAGTTTCTCTGTGAGGATGTTATGGGAGACGGTGTCAAAAGTCTTACTGAAGCCTTACTATCTATGATTATTAAGTCTTCCTTAAATTGTGAGGTTTGGAACTTTCTGGGTCCTTGTGACCAACTTTGTTCACCTTGTTGTGTTTATTTTGTTAAATACAAAAGCAAAATTGTTAGCTGAGGAGGTGCCCAAGATGCACATCATGAGATAGTGGGAGTTATTTCAAGACAGTACCAATATATACTTACTCTGTTCCTTTTCTTCCCCATGATATATGCAGTTGACTGTGGTTGAAGATGAATACTGGACTAGATGGGTCTTTGGCTTGATCCAGTGGGGTCGTTCTTTAATGTCTTGTGTTTCTGTCAGATAATGATTGTTAGTGAGTAGCTTAGCTGCACTTACGTATTTGGTAAGAATGCAAGTATGAAAAGAAATTATTTCAGACTTCTGAATACACTGATGCTAACACTTTCATTCATAGATCCCCGAATCATAGCTTTTTAATATCTGTTGTACAGAGTCTTCAATGTTGCATCCAAGTCCACGTCTGACATGACGAAACAGCTTGATGGCCTGGGTATACAGTATGTGATTCCTGTGTTATATGGATGTGTTGTTTTTTTTTTTTTTTCCCATTGGAAATTGGATAACAAACACCTAGTTCATGAAATTTTTGTTCAGTTTTTTTAAAAGTTCTGTGTTAAAACTATTTTTCCGTTTGGATATTCTTTATTGCCTTTGTCAAAAGGGCTTATTTCTTATTACAGTAATTCATGATCTTAAGCATCTGAGATAATATGCTCAGTATGCAGAACTGCTATATCTTGGAAAATTCAACTTGGATCGTAGGTTAATACAGGTTGGAAGGGACCTCTGGAGGTCATCTAGTCCAATCCCCTGCTCAAAACAGGGTCAACTGTGAGGTCAGACCTCATGTGTTGTTCATATTTTTAAAACCAACTGTTTAGCAATTTAATAATGTAAAATGCTATATTTTATACTCTTAGTACAGAATATGAAGTGTAATATAGGCATGTGAATTTTAAGTATAGCATGACAAATAGTTAAAAGACATTGTTAAGATAATGTCTGTAGTCATAGATTCACATTTTCCTACACTGTCTCGGTGTCACAAGAGACTAAAAGAGAGCAGGAAGAGGCTTCTTTGAGATGCTGATTGTAGGCCAGAATTACTAAATCACAGAGGAATGGATCGTTGGTTGTGTGTGCCTTCAGAGGAGGGATCTAGTCCTAGCTGTAAACTACACAAAATGAATCTCCACTCCTATGTATCTTAAGTTCTCTTTATGACACTTAATTTCTCCCAGTTTCACTTCCTTCATCTCTCATGCTGCTGCAGGTTTTAAGCCTCCACGTTTGCATAGCCAGCCACATAGTCTTCCATCACTAAAATAACAGGTAGAAAGATTAGGAAGTTGCAGGGAAGTGGCTTTTTATGATTATTTTCTGTGGAATGAACAGATTTATGTTGCATTTTGTCCAGAAAAAAATACAGCAGTTTGCATGGCTGCATCATTGCATTATACACAGAGACCTGGTTGTGGGAGTTCTCACAAGCAATATGCTGGAAGCACTGACTCAAGGGTGTGGATCTGCACTAAATTTGCAAAATTGTCTTGAAAATTTACCAGCCCAAGCAGAAAATCCATTCATCCATGCTTATGATGATGGTAATGAGGAAAAAATACTGTATTTACAAGTGGGAGGAGGGGAGAAATATAGTTTTCTTGGAAGAAATAAGCAAGATGAGAAGAATTTTGTAAGGTTATGTTATATGATATGTAAAGAGAACAAGTAATTTTTTGTTGGATT